CTAAGGAACATGAGCAGAGAAGAACCTCCACCTGAAGGTGCCTGACAGCACCCTCTAAGGAACATGAGCAGAGAAGAACCTCCGCCTGAAGCTTGCTTTAAATGTGGCAAAGTGGACTTCTTAGCTATAAACTATTCTTGCCTCTGCTGTTGACATCACACGGTCCACACTGTGGACAGGTAAGACACTGGGAAGTTGACTGACTCATTTGCCTTGAGAAGGTCGGACAGTTTTTTCCTCACGGTCCCGCTTCACCAAAAAGTCTGTCAGATTTTCTGGACCTGATGGCCAAAATGGATGCCCCTCTGACTGCAGAGAAACCTTGGATGACTGACTGTGGAGGTAGTCCAATAAGTCTATGACATTTTAAATAGATGCAGAAACAGTAGCCCTTCATGGGCCTAGAGAAAAGAAAGTTGCTGTGTTCCAGTCATAGGTTTATGGAAGCTGTAGTCCCTGGAGAAGTAGGAGTGACAGTTGTCAAGGGCTGTTGGAGAGGCCCATGTGCTCAGCACATGAGCACTGATGGCCTCCCTGCCAGGCCAGGCTGAACTGTACAAAGTGGTTAGGATTGGCATGGGAGTGAGGATGGCCTTGCCTGATTGGTGAGAAGAAAAGCCAGGTTACCATGAGGATGAGGGCTGCAGGAGCTTCAACCGAGCTCAGGCAAACTGAAAGGAAGGAATGCGGGGGGGGGGGGAGTTACAACACATAGCAGGCTAAAGAGTAGGATTCCAGAATTTAGAATTGAATTTCAAGACAAGTAAGTGATCCATACATACTTAAGAAGGACTAGATTAGCAACCTGGTTTGCAGCAACTGTTGCAGTTAAAAAGGGTGAGTGTATCAATAGAAAGAACTGGGAGAGAGGCAGGGCTCTGTCATTAGAGGGGATTTGAGTTTGAGATCCAAGTCCTTGGAGGCAAGGGCTCTGCTGGAGTTACCATCCTTGCTTAGTAGAAGCTGAGTCTTGGAATATTGGCTACAGAGGAAGAGACAAACCTGGACAGAAGGGATTCAGACCACTTGCTCACATATCAGCAGAGATTTTCAGTAACATCAAGAATGCTCTCTGGTGGCCATTTAGTGAAGCCAGGTCATAGAACCAAGGTGACTGGGGCTCAAAGTCTGAGATAGTCCTAGTTTGGGACTCTTTATTTATAGAAACACTGGTACTCACATGATAATTTGTGGTGGATATGACTGTCTTTTTAATACTATGGATAATAGTATAATAGATTGCATCCTTATAATATCCTTTACATTCTTTAGGCTGTTTCCAATGTCAGTTCCTTGGGTTTAGAGAAATGTTGTTTAGACTCTTAAACAGAGAAAATGCAAATAAAATGCTAAAGACTCATATAATCTTAATTTGGGAAAATCATGATAAGTATATTATCAACATAACTGAGTTCATGGAAAAATGAAAGCAAGATATATAGACTCATGAAGAAATAGTTGGTTTTAATGTTTTTATGTACCAATGGTTTCCGTCTTAATTATTTACTCCAAGTTATTCCATTTAGAATTTCCTTCCTTTTCATTAAACAGATCACTCTGATTAGCACAAGTATGACTTACCAAATGTAGTCATAAACCATCAGCAGAAAGGTCGTGAGTCTATTGTTTGAGCTTTTCCGTTTAACATGGAAGGAATTTAAAGAGAGCTATGCTTGAACAGAATCTAGGTCTTTGGGAAAATAGATACACAAAATAATGACATAAGGAAAGGAGTTTTCAAACATGATTTAGCATGATCAGATAAGGGGAAGGTAAAACTCTGTAAAGTCTATCATTACAAAGAATCACCATGGTGCAAGCACCAAAGAGGTGACCCCCACTTCATATCACTGTTTCAGAGAAAGACTATATTTGCCTTCATGGGGACCATGGTTTCCGTGTAACTAAACATTCACATGACATATTTCATATGTATTAAATAAGATATCAGTTTAACAAACCATAGCATACTTCTTTTATTGTAGATATGTTTTCTTTCAAGGATGTTTGACATAAATGCAACTACAAAGCTGTCACTCCTCCCCATCAGATATTGCATAAATCTAATTTTATCTTAGCTATTCTGCATAAATGTGGATACAACCTACATACCAAACAAAAATCCTAATCCTAGCCCAGATGCTGCACATCATTAATTGTGATCAGTTTCATTGTATAGCTCTTTCTATGCTTTGTCAGAATTGAGATGTCTTTTTAAATTATTAGACACAGGTGTTCAATCCCACTGTAAGACACAACCTCATGGCTGGGTCATCTAGCCTGTGCTCATCAATTGTTGCATTCAGTTTCTTTTAGATATATCTTTGGAATTCCTCCCCTGATCCTTGTTCTACTGCCTGTCACATCATCTGACTGCCACATTAAAGACAAAGAAGGCAAAGCATACGAGAGCGTGCTGATGATCAGCATTGATGAACTGGTACGTGCTTATTTTATTGCTCTTACATTCTCACTTACTGGGAAATTTGAAATACACTTTTGGTATGCAGTTCTATTATCATACATACATTGTACTTATTGACAAAAAAGGTGTCAAGTATCGAATATAATACAGTGAATGAGGAACTGTGCTCCTTCATGGATGACATTATTCTGTCCTTTAGGAATACGTCATTCCTGGAAAATAACAGTATCTGTTTATGACCTGGTTCCATTTTCTTCCAAATAAGTGGAATTCATCGTCATCCCTGGATTTGTTTGCCTCCTGTTTATCCTATTCATCCTGGAATGTGCTTTACATTAGAAGCCTAGAAATAATGGAATATAACATGAAAATTGTAATGAAAAGTAACACATAGCTATTTTATCTTAATATGTATGGGTGTATATAGATCCATGTATATAGTTTTTACTGTGTAAAGCATATAATTTTTCTCTAAGTTAATACTCACTTACTGTGAATGGATTATCTCTTTAAATAATGGGTTTTATATCTTGAAGATTTTCAGTGTGGAACAATTGAGGAAATATACAAAACCTCCATGTACTCATGGCCACTACCATTGCAGGCATTATAATGTAGTGGATGTGTTACAGTAGATGAGCTGACACTAATGTACTGATCTATACTGATCTTAGGTTTTATTCTCTGTTATGTAATTTATTGGGTAGGACATATCAGCATACTATCACACTCCATGGATTCCCTGATGTCCCCTCTCCTATCCCATGTTCAACCAACCCATCTTTCCTGCCCTCCCCTGAATCCTTGGCATCTGCTGACCTACTTCCTATCCTTCGAGGTTTTCCTGGAATGGTAAACAGTTGCAATCATGTTCCTTTTTTCTTCTTCTTCTTTTTACTTTCTTGAAACATGTCTTGACAGCATTTTTTATTGGATATTTTATTTATTTACATTTTGGATGTCATCCCCCTTCCCCATTTCCCCTCCCTAGAAACTCCCTATCCTATCCCCCTCCTCCTTTTTGTTTTTATACTATTTCAATTACATGCAAGAATTAAGATCAGTTCTAGGTTGAGGAACTAGCAATGCAATAGATGCAAATAGTCAAGGAAAAAGCAAGACAGTAAACACAAAGTAGTCAAAAGAACAAGGAAGACAATAAACAAAGTTCCATGGACACTCTCATGATCATTGTTTCTAAGGGCTTATCAGGATGACCTAATATCTGAGCCAACTTCCCTGTCCTAGCCCAAAGTCATTTTCATGTCTGAAGCCTACTTCCTTGTTCTAGCCTAATATTTAGATTCTTGCCTGAAATAACTTCTTTTTTCTAGCGTAATCTCAAATTCCTGAAGCCTGCTTCCTTGTCTTTGGCCAATGTCAGACTCCTGCCAACTAGTCCATTCCCTTGTCCTTGGCTCAAGTCAGATTCTTGCCAAGTAGCCATCTCGAGCGTCATGCCAAATACCATTGGATTCACGTTAGTTCTAAAATTTACGTGGTAGTCACTATAATTAGGAAAAAGGGTAAAGACATTTGCAATGTATTTTGTGTAAGTCTAATACCTCTCTGGATGTTTTAACTTTGTAGAATGAACTTATGAATTTAAAGAATGCTGCTCTGTTGATCATTGATGTGGCAGATACTGCTGATAAAATTACCCATGGCCTGAAGTCAGTATTTCTATTTTGGTCAAGCTTCAAGAATGGCATACATAGCTTGATCATGCTAGCCATTTTTGTCCTGGGAATACTTTTATTCTTGCCCATCATGTTAAAGAATCAACATGTTGGCAGCCAAAGTACATGGCTAGAAACCGAAAATGGACCCCCAGTCTGAGCCAAGGACAGGTAAGATTCTGCAGAGCCTTACCAACCTAAGACATAAGTGCATTTCTTTTGATAATACACAATGGGTAAGAAAGGCATTCTTGGAATAATGACAGGCTCAGTCTTGTTTATGAAATAAAAAAGGGAGAGAGGTCAAGACCTTTTGGGGCTGCTTGGCAAAAATCTGCAATCATGTTCTCATGTCAACCTTTTAAACTTGATTATTTCACTTAGACATGTGAGTTAAATTACCCATTATAATGTATGCAATATTTTATTGTCATCTACACATCTTATTTACTGAGCCCTATGAATCTACATCTTTAAAATAGAGTTTCTTAGCCATTGCCATGAGATGTCTCTCCAGGTGATTGTACCTTCCTTTGATTTCTTTCTTCAGAGTTCTGTATTCACCCACATACAAATCCCATCCATAACTGGTAAACTTATATAGTCCATACATTAGTATGGTTCTAAATAATGCTGGTTTTCATTTTAAATTGTATTTAGTCATTGCTGGTACATATACAGACACTTGATTTCTGTTTGTTAAACTTGTATCTTGCAATCTTTTTTAAAATGGCTACTTTGCTCCAGGAGTTTGTTGCTAAAGATATTTATTTGGGGTTTCCACATAGACAATAAAGTAACATGTAAAAATTATTGTGTAAGGTTGATTTAATAAATAATCTTATCATTTTAGTCAGACTGAAGCCTTATGTGATGAACATAGTCCCCGTTAAATGTTCATAAGACATTGTTTAAGGTCCTTCTCAACCACGTACTCTCAACCATTGAAGTGGGCTGTTATCTTGAGAAAATGTTTTGCCTCTTGTTGTGGTGTAGAAAATAACAAGTGGTTACTGAAACCTGGCACACAAAATTCTATGCCTTTTGCTAGCTGACAGGCAGAGAAAATGGTGCCCACTAAACAGCAATTTCCACATTTTATATTTCATGATATTTGGATATTGAGTACATTAAATTGATCTTTTTCGTAAGAAGATATATCTGATTTAATCTTATTACGTGTGCACAGAAATAGTCTTTCAACACCAGTTAATGAGCAAAGCAACATATGCAAAGAAACTATGGAAAGAAATGGGGAAGGGGAAGAAGGGAGGCAGGAACAAAGATGTTGTTGAAAATTTAATGAAAGAGATTTATTTAACTAATTCATGGCACATCTTTTTCAATACATTCAATAAGGCACATCTTTTTCAATACATTCAATAAGAAACCAGAGCAACGCTGATACTATTCCCAGAAATAAGGCACAACTGTTTCTACAAAGATGTTCTGAGAAAGGATGGGAGAAAACTCAGTCAAACCGAGTACTGCCGGTTTCTTTTAATCTGAGAAAAAGAGAAGAAAAATTGCCACTCCCAACAGGATTGCAGAGTACATCTTGTCACTTTGAGCATACTAAAGCCTTGACAGATTTTAGGATTTGCTTCTGAGGGGGAATTCAGCAGTGCTGATGTACATAGACTGCTATGACCTGGGTCTTTCCCTATGCAAATCATTTAATGCAAATTCTTAAAAAAAGAAAATTCTTTTTATTAATGTTTATTTGTAGGTGTCTTTGTGTGAGTAGTATAAGTGCATCTGGGTACCTGTAGAGATCAGATGGAGGATTGTGTCCCCTGGAGCTGGAGGCACAGGCTGTAAGTCACATGAACGAAACGCTCAGAACCAAATCCCAGTCCTCTGCAAGATCAGACAGTGTTGTTAACTATTGAGTTATCTTTCTAGTTTCCACTATTTATTTTAATTCACATTTCTTCAATTGCTAGTTATAAACTACTTGTTTATTTTGTATATTACATGGATAGGAGGCTAACTGGAAACAAGTCTCAATACTAAAGTGCACTGACTTCTCTTCCCTATAGCCCTTGATTTTATTCCCAGCACCCACATGGATAACATCCATCTGTAATTCCAGGTCCCCAGGATCCCAGGACTTGGGAAGCAGAGGCAGGAGAATCTTTCTGAGTTTGAGACCAGCCTGCTCTACACAGTGAATTCCAGGAAGGCCAGGGCAACACAGAAAAACTCTGTTTCAAAAAAACAAATGGATGATAGATAGATAGATAGATAGATAGATAGATAGATAGATAATAGATGGATAGACAAGCAGATTGATAAATAAATATAAATATATATTATTAGCAGGAGAGGGTAGAGAGATGACTCATTGGTCAAATGCATTGGATCCTCTTCTAGAAGGCCCAAATGGCTAATATCAATCTGTAATTCTAGTTCCCTAGGATCCACCACCCTTTTCTAGTCCCCCAGGACACAGACATGGACATAGTTCACAGATTATAGACTCATAGAAAGCACCAACATCCATAAAATAAAAATAAATAAATCTAAAGGGTTATTTATGACAGAGTCATTTTTAAAAGCACAAGTCAGCTACATTTAATATAACCAAAATGCATAATCATTTGCCATCCGTATCTAGACCAGATTCCATTACTTCAAAAGAAATTCTGTATTCATTAGCAGTAGCTGCTGCTAGCCATTGATCTCATTTCTGTCTAAATAGAATTGGCTTTCAAAGGCATTTCACATAATTGGAGTCTGACAGAATTCTTATAGGACTCCTTCAAGTTAGTTTGATGATCCTAGATGCATCCTTTTTGAAAGATTTCCTTGAGTAGGACCAGCTATTTGTATGTAGATGTTCGTAGTAGTTTCTTGTGCTTCTGCATAGTTCTGTGGTATCATTTGTAGTGTCTCCTTTTATGTATTTCCATATATATATATATATATATATATTCTATATTATATACATATATAATATATAGATTATATATGTAATATATATTACATATATATTACATATTGTATGTAAAAGGTTAGCCATATATAAATTATATATAATTATATATAATTTTTAATTTATTTAATATTTCTGATTTAAGAGATTAGCTGTTCTCTCTTTTTCTCTCAGAAAACATTTGTCAAATTTGCTTTTGCTCATGTTTTCTTCTAAAATTTTGCTTTTTATTTTATTGTTTGGAGTCTTTGTGGCATATTGTTAGGTTGTTTATTAAAAATTTTTTGATTTACTTTTAGTGTATTCATTATTATAAACAAAGAACTAATAAAAATGTATGTCATAGATTTTGGTAGTTATTGTTCTCCATTGATTTCTAATTTAATTTCATTGTGCTC